TTTTGTATAGTTTGTAAGTTTTGTTACTTTTGTAATGTTTATCGGTTTCTTTTGTAATGTTTGTAAGCTTTGTCATTTTTGTCGACCATGTTTGTAATGTTTTTATGTCGAAAAAACAACATGGTTGACGTTTGGACGAAGCTTCTCTATATAGAGATGTAGCCTCCAAAGTCAACCCGACTGTTTTTTCATTTTGTATGTTTTGTCGGTCTAGTCTGTCATTTTTGTCCACTATGTTTGTAATGTTTGTATGTCTAAAAAACAACTGAGTTAACTTTGAGAGGGAACCCCTCTATATAGGGATGGAGCCTCTAAAGTCAACCTGGTTGTTTTTTGTCATGGGTTAATTGTAAGGTTGGTCACTGGAATTACTAAAAACATTCATGTTTGGTCACTAAAAATATTTAATTCCATTTATGATCACTAAATTTAGAAAAACGATCCAAGTTTGGTCACTCTCCGTTAGTTTCTGTCCGTCTCCGTTAACACCGTCAATTAATTGCTGACGTGGCTAACAAAAATGCTAATTCATCCTATTTTAACCTGCCACGTCATAAAATTGGACTCACCAAGTCATTAAACCAGCCATGTTAGTTTTTCCAACCCCAACCTCAACCCTAGCCCTTCCCAACCCGATTGCAAAGGACACTCCCGGCCAGCCTGGGTTCCTGTGCTTAAGCCCAAATGCTTAAGCATATTGCTTAAGTCATTCTATTGGTTGATAGTGGATTAGGTAATTAATAAGTGGTTAGTAGTTAATAGGTAGTTGAGGATAAATAAGGTTATTATGCAAATATAATTGATATTAATAATTGATTATTCTCTTTCTCTCTCTTCAGATAACTTTCTCCATAATCCTCTCTCTACTACAATTATGAGAAAATATGAAATTAATTTAATTATATTTTATTATTTAATAAAATTCAAAATTAATAATTGTTTGTCTTTAAAAATGGAAATTGAAAATTAAAAATCTGCTTTCTCACTTCGTGACAACATTTTGAAATGACATTATCAACGCTTATGAAATAAATCATTATTACTATACCTTATAATTATTAACAATTTCAATATACGTATCAATTCTTTACTATTATATTATTAAGAATTTGGGATCAATTGTTATCAACGTTTATGAGCTCCCAAAATGTTTTTATTAATTATTTATTTGACGTGTTTGGAGATTATATTTAACATTGTCAATTTTTCATTAATTAGTAACGTCATGTCATGTGTGCACATATAGTTTTCATTATCAAATGTTTAATAATGTTATTATCAAATTTTACATGACTTGTTAATAAAACACTTTATGACATTATTAGTTTTGAACTTTAGTAACCTTTAATAAGAACACACTAAATCATTGATAACGACTATATTTAGTTGAAAATAAATATTTGTGTATTCAATAAAAACATAATGTTTTGGTTTTTGATGTTTTCGTTATCAATAAATTTTTGTTACATTATTAACGGTTTGTTTCATCTCTATCAACCTAGGAGCTTATGTTTTCCAATTTGGACATCGGGTTTATAAACTTCTTGATAAAGTGTACTATTTGTTTTTATTGTAGTTATCAACGTTTATGAAAAAATGTCAAACAATTACACCATCAACTTTTATTGGTTCATTATAATCAATCCAAGGTACTGTTATCAACTTTTTTGCAATTAATTTTCAACGATATACAAAAACATTATCATCGTCTCCGAAATCATTTTTTGTTGTTTGTTAATGGGTTTAGGCTCATTGTTAACAATCTAATGTAATGTTATCATTGTTGATGTAATGTAAATTGTTATTAACGTAATAAAATATTTAAGGTTATAATCATTATAGCCGAACATTATAAAAATTTTAGTGAATTATTAATAAAATATAGTTACATTATCTATGTTTAATATATCATGATATCATATGTTGTTTGTTAATGTATCGTGATATCACGTAGTTGTTACAACTTACAATTTCACTTTCACGTTAAAAACGTTAAGCAACTCCCACCAAAATGTTGTTAAAGTATATCATAACTAATAATATTAAAATCATTAAAAATCGACCTAAACCATTTATAATTTTCAGTTTCAATGAATTTTTTGGGATGAGAACGTCACGTTTACGTTAAAAACGTTAACAACGTGAAAGTATATCATTACTAATAGTTTCAAAACGTTTAACAGTTAACCTAAAATATTTGCAATTTTGTCATGTACTGTTAATAGTGAACACTGTCGACGTTTGATGTATCATGATATCAGTTGTTGTTTGTTTGTCGAAACGAGTGAGGCGTCTTTGAGAGCTCATTACTAATAGTATCAATAATGATAATGTTGTGAATCAATGATATTGTGAATCATTAGTAAAGATGTTGTAATCAATGATTCATTCATAAACGTTGACGATGAAAATTTACAACGGTAACGATTGATTCAAAATTGTTAATAATATAATTGTAAAGAGTTGATACTTATATCGTTAATAATGATAAGGTATAATAATAATGATTTATTTCATAAACGTTGATAATGTCATTGTGAATCATTAGTAAAGATGTTGTAATCAATGATTCATTCATAAACGTTGATGATGAAAATTTACAACGGTAACGATTGATTCAAAATTGTTAATAATATAATTGTAAAGAGTTGATACTTATATTGAAATCGTTAATAATGATAAGGTATAATAAAAATGATTTATTTCATAAACGTTGATAATGTCATTGCAAAACGTTAATACTACATTGCAAGTTGTCACGAAATGAGAGAGAATATTTTTAATTTTTAATTTCTAAGAGAAAAAATTATTAAGTTTGAATTTTATTAAATATTAAATATTAAAATCTAATTAAATTAATTTCGAATTTCCTTTTAATTGCATTGGAGAGAGAGGGTTATGGAGAAAGTTATGGGAGGAGAGAGAAAGAGAATAATTAATTATTAATATTAATTATATTTGCATAATATCCTTATTATTTTCAACTACCTATTAACTACTTACCCCTTTATTAACTACCTAATCCACTATCAACCAATAAAATGACTTAAACAAAATGCTTAAATGTATAGGCTTAAGCACCGGATCCTACCCGCTCCCGGCCTCAATTTTCATTCTCCCAGAACAAGCTCTCTTCTCCTCCTCCATCGACAAGGAATGAATGGATCCACCAAGATTGTTGATTGGATACCCGTACCTGCTGCCTCTTTTATTAGCCCACCTTTGTCATTTGCGGTTGATGCTGATTGCGGCTACATTGGATTTATGGTTGGAACGTGACCCTGATAAGGGTTGGGTGGTGCTGCGGCGCTTGAAACTTCGCTCGACGGTGGCTAGGAGAGAAGTCGCAATGGTGGGTGGCTAAATGGAGTGCAACGAAGCCAGACAGAATCGACGAATGTGGGAAATCGGAGGTGACGAGTAAAGGCCAAAGCGAGGAAGGGCTTGAAATTTGGAAACTTGGGATTTCTCAAGAGATTGTCTCTATAAGATCTGGGCCTCTGCCGCCATCAGATTTGGGCCTCTTGTCGGAGAACACAGAAGATTGCGTCCCTTGAACAAGTGGTCCCCGACTAGCTCTGCTGCTGCATGTTCGATTGGGAGAGGAATCCCGTTAATCAATTACCGTTGCTCCGGCCCTCATGCTCGATCTGAAACTCTCGCTCTACTTCTCCCGCCGGTTCCTCTAACTCCTGATTGACGCGTCCTAGGGGGTCAAGCCGGCAAACACAAGCAGCAACATATAATCCTGATCGAGAACTGGTTTGGAATCGTCGTCTCTAGCTAACTCGCCGCCGATAAGTCTTTGCCAGTGGTGAGGACGAGGAATAGGAGGGCGCGACATCGGTGTCGAGAACGCCATCGAGTGATAGCGGTTCCACTAGGTTTTTAGGGATTGCAATTTACTTTGAGGAACTGGCCTCCCTCCTGCCGCCACTCTTCGTCGCCATCACAGTCGCACGCCGCCACCACTCACATCTACCATCATAGATCCATGAAGAAAGAGAGGAAAGGGGAGCAAATAGGAGTGGCCGGAAGATTGAAGGGGAGAATCGTTGGAAAATGGAAGGGAAGAGAAGCTGGGGATGCAGTGATAGGATTTAGGGCCAGGTCGCGGGTTGGGAAGAGTTGGGTTTGGGTATGGAAAAACTGACGTGGCAGGTTTCGGTGACATGGTGGGTCGGATTTATGATGTGGCCTGTTAAAATAGGATGAATCAGCATTTTTGTTAGCCCCGCCAGCCAGCTGTTAACTGACGGTGTTAACAGAGACAGACGGAAACTAATGGAGAGTGACCGAACTTGAACTGTTTTGTTAAATTTAGTGATTATTAATGGAATTAAATATTTTTAGTGACCAAACATGAACGTTTTTTGTAATTCCAGTGACCAACCTTGCAATTAACCCTTTTTCATTTTGTATTGTTTGTATTGTTTGTTGGTTTAATTTATATTGTTTGTATATTTTGTATTGTTTGTAAATATGTTCGTATTTTTGTCGTTCTAGTTTACATTGTTTGTATGGTTGTACTGTTTATAAATCCAACTTGTATACTTCTTAATTTTTCGTAATACCGATATTATCTCTACCGCTAATTAAAAAGCCCTTTCTACTTTCAACTGTTGAATTGGTGTATTCAGATTTGAGATAGGATTGATTAAGCAGCTTAGTCATAGTATCCGCCCTCGTAATAAGGCCGGCCTTTAGACACGCAGCCACCACACGATCGTTAGAAGAAGAAAAAATAGCTTTTCTTTTTCTTTTTCTTTTTCTTTTTCACCTCCGGCCCATTTGTCCGTCAATAACGCCAAAATAGTACGTCCTAGCAAAATTGTATGCTTACAACTATGTAATAAATGAAATACGCAAATGCTGGATCAGGTTGGATCGTCTTTTTCTTAGTTCAGAGAAGAACCTACACTGAGTTTCGTTTGAATCAGAATGATAAATATGCAAAACATGATAAAGAGAGTATGGAGGATGAATTTAAGAAGGAGGTTACATCTCATTCCGAGTTTAAAGGGTTATATGAGAATCATACCTCGCGTTTCTGTTGCCCCACACAACAGATTCTACAGAGTAACTAGATAGCTCATCTGCTTTGCATATAGATGCATTAGATCTTATATCATGTCTGGAACAGGGATCAAATATACACTAATGACTACTAAACTCTTTAGACAACCTTTAAGACTGCTATCTATGAACATTACCAGACTATGGAGTTCTCAATCAACCGTCGTCTCAAATCTCAATCATCTCTTGCAACTCGAAGAATGTTGTTATAAATTCCAGCTTGGCTGACGGACTCCATCTCATCATCAGTTCTCCATTCTCCATCCACTATGAATTTTATCTGCAATAACGTAATGTAAAACAAAGAAGACAATGGATCACTCAAGGTATGTTGGCAAGTTCAATGTTCCAATCTCAATAAACAGCATACTAATATTTTCACGCATTGGAGTCTGATTCTGTGACACACCTCGTATACTCCTGGATAAAGCCACAGTGTTATAGACCAAATATTTGATTTCCTGGAATAAGTAACAAAAAATACTTGCAAGGAGTTAGTAAACAACCACAAACGAACTCAGAATATTCAAGTATAGGGCAGTCCAAATCTTCTTTGGCACACTCCATACGCGGACTAATGGCAACTTGGTGTCGGCCATAATCCTTAGATTGCTACAACTATACATGACCAATAATGGGAGGAGACTGCACCTTATATGCTTCAAAGTGAGACGAAGAAAGTTAAACAAAAAAGAGGGCATACCACAGAGGCACAGACCAAAAACCTTAGTTTCTTTTAATAAAAGAAGGGATCTATCACCTTGACTCATTGATATTTTTATCTGAAGATGGTTCAGGATCCGTCATAATTTTGCTGCACAGGAGATGAAGAAAGTTGGTCCCAGAACATGCCAAACAACAGACTAGAATGCTTAGGATATTTATAGAAGAGATGGGATCTATCACCTTGATTCTGCAATATTTTCATCGGAAGAAGAGGGCTCACCATCCAACATAATTTTGCTGCAAAACGAGACAGAAATTTAACTATGAAATTATGGCAAACTATATACCAGAATCCTTGGGATATTTATAGAAGAGAAGGGATCTAGCACCTTGACTCCGTGATGTTTTCATCTGAAGATAGCTTGGGATCCATAACAATTTTGTGATGCCAACCATTGAAGCTACCTGAAACCTCCACACTTTGGCCAACCCCGTGGTACTGGATTGTGACCTGAAAAAATTACACAAACCACTAAGCAATGAATTTGGGGCAGACCTATCTTCCAATTAGTTTTTCGAAGCGACAGACCAGCAGAATGGGAAGACGACTGACTATAACTTGGCAAAAATTTGAACTTATTAACAAGGAAAAGCGATAAGAGAAATACCTGAACAAGGCCTGTCAAACTTTCTTCAGCAGCAAACAATTCTGCATCTTTTTCTGCAAGAAGGTTTTGGGCCTTTGTAATCTCTGTTTCAGCATTTCTTTGCAGATCAGACAAAGTACGCTGCAAAACACCAGGAAGTGAACTGTTATTACACATGCAAGCATTAAGTACCATTTGTCTCAAAACTGGATAAAAAAGGTACACAATCTACCGTTTCCTTCTGAATCAGTTCCTGCAACCGGATCAACTCCAACTCCTTTTGTTGCTAAACAGATACATCAGTACAAGTCAGCTCATGCAGCTAAACTCCATGGGTTAAACAAAAAGAAACATATATAGATATACCATCATTAATTCGAGATCATTTATCTCAATATGCTTCTCCTTTCTATCAGTCTGTACCACAAAACACAAATGTCAGCAATCAGCTTAGATATAAGCAGCCTAGAAACCTTTCAATTTAAACACAAATAACAACAATGGGTCGTCACAGAAAAAGATAACTACCTGAACAATGAAGTCTTTCTCGAGATCAGAAAGAGTATGAGATTTAGTACATGCATCATCATTCCTACAATTAATAATGATAAGTATGAGATGGAAAGAGATTATAAAGGATCACAAATGGGAAATATACAATCTATAATACATTTCAGAAACCAAAAACAGCAGCACACAGCAAAGCGAAATCCCTCAGAAAGAACAATAGAGATAACGGTATTAGAGACACTATATGTCAAAATTATGAATAGTCAGTCACCTTGCTCAGTCTTCTAGTTAATCAAATGTAAGAACGAAAAGAAAGTTGTGTTTCAAGAGAATGACCAAAACAGGAACCTGATAGCTTGGTTCACACCGATGAGAGTAACTGATGTTGATGTTGGTGCCTTTCCATTTACACTAAAAGCAGTAGTGGGACTGAACACTCTATCTGCAAAATCACCCTCATAAGTGGTCTCCGTCAAATGGATAGGGTTTCAACAGCATGTTCATCATACTTCCCAAAGACATTATAATCATGTAATACATACTGGACCAGTGAGAATTATTACACTGTGTAATGCACGCAGTTAATAAGGAACATAAATGAATAGAGAGGTTCAATAAGAATTCTGCAGCATAAATATTAACATACATCGAAAAGTAAGAAGCACAAGTCAAATAACTTAGTCTACTTCAATATACTCGAAAGCCCAAAAGCACATAAAAGATCTAAAAACTGAAGAACTGATCAATTTCATTGCTTCGCTATGTCATAACTTTGGTCTCTTTTTCTTCCATTTCTATGTCAAATTTCAAAAGGATGAAACCTAGTCAGAATTGAACAAAGTCCCAGATAAATTCAATTGATTATCTTACTCAAATATAAGTTGTAGGCCCAATAAGGCTTTCTATTAAAAGTACTCAACATATGAAAAAACTTTTTATCATGTACTGTTCTTTCCATGGAGGACTGAGCTAACAGTAACTTTTATGAACATTACCTTCAACAGCATCTAAATCTCCAGTATGAATAAACTTTGCCACCTTCTCCTCTAATGATTCATCAACCATCAAATCCATCCGTGTCCAACTAGGATTGCCGACATCAAGACCTAGAAAAATACTCAACGTGAAATAATTCTCATTCCACAATTTTGTTGACATGTTTGCACAAATATGGTGACTTTCTCAACCTAACCTTTTGAATCGTCTGATTCCATAGGCACCTGAGTGTTGTCACTACTCCTAAAACCTGAATGCGTGTTTTGCCCCTTCGGGACCAATCATCCAAGTTAATGCCTAAAACCTTTTCATCCTTCACAAATTCAACACCTTCATCATGCTGCTCTGACTTAGATAGGGAGGATGATGTTGTGCAATTTTGAGAAGTTTATTTAACCTCTTCATTTCCGCATCCATGTTCAGCTGAGTAGCTGTGAAATGATGACTCTAGAGGACTGGATATATTTTGATCTTTACCATTATTTCTACTATCTCCAGTCGTACCATTATACATTTGCATTCTCATCTGGCCTTTTAAATAGCGAAAAGGTATCAAGTAGAGTGGAAATTGGGATTATAACAAGTATCCAAAAGAAGTCAGGGAAAACATGTTTGACCTGTTCCAAGACATGCTAGCTCATGGATTGAATTGCCTTCCTTATCAGAGCTTTGAAATTCCGAGGACCCATCAACGTCTACTGAGGGCGAATTAACAAGAAGCTCTCTTATCCGCTTGTAACCTCTACGTCTCACAACATTGGCAAGGTCACTTCTGCAGAAATCGATTTGCATAAATATGGAAAGAAAACAAGGGCAAACAGGTTGTAAGCTGATCATTATAGCATTAGTAGTACTAATATCACATTGCCAAGAAAGACCAAGCAAATGGCTATGGAGGTAAATGGATACGGCTAGGAATACACCAATGATACAAGAATGCACACTCTACAACTGATTCACCATCTTCTTTTCTATCCCATTCCTAATAGATGAGCATTGTCGAAACTCTAATCTTGACCATTGCAAAAGGTAATAAGACTTCCATGAATTTGGCAATCAATTCCACCCACCCAGAAGCGAAGGAACACAAAAGAAATGAAATCACCTCCCATTATCCGCAAGCTCCTTTGTGGTGGGAACGTGGTCTTCTGGGAGCCCAACAGCAGACAAGAACTCCCGGATATCGTTACAAAGCTCCTCATTGCTCTTTACCTTCTTTCTGAACAGAAATAAATCACTCACCCAACGTTCAAGGAAAGAAGGAGAAGAGAAACATGAACCTACAGCTGAAAATATTTAGGCCATGGAGGAAAACCTGGGCATTCTAACAGAACAAGCGCAAACCAATGAACGCTCTCGAGAAGGGAGGTGACGATGGTCATGGATGAGGCCATCACATTGCAGCTGAGATTGCTGTTGCTGGGTAAATAAGAAGAGATTATGGGGAAGGAGCGGCGGAAGAAAGCATCGGAATTTAAAGAGCGTCGCCATGGAAGAGAAACAGATTTCGCAGCATTGGAAGCGAAGGAGCGATAAGATATTCTGGGAGGGACGCAGGTGGAATTCGAGTTACAATTATGTGCCTGGAAAGAAGTTGAGAAACCCTGACCTTGGCGAGTGAGGTCGACACTTGTTGACCTTTATGAGAAAAAATAGAAAACCCACAAATAAAAATTAGAGCAGCTTGCAGGTGTCAATGGAAGAAAGGTCTTAATTTTGTTAAACTGGGTTAGTCGCATTATGGATATTTTTAGGTACGCCTGCATAAAAAATACAGCAGTTTGCGTCAGTCAATGGAAGAAAAATATTAATTTTGTTAAACTGGATTAGTGGCATTATGGATATTTTATTAGAGCCCGAGAATGGAAGGATTAATTTCACAAATATTGTCTTTTTTTTTCAAATTATGGTGATTTAAAAATAATTGACACATATATTATGTTTTTTTTAGGTTTACAATGATAAAGCACGAGACTCAGGCGCTGGCACTTTTTGTTGAGTTTTCAATAAAAGTCAGGGGCGGCGCCTGAGACTGGGGCGTTGGCGGTGTTTATATGGTCTCAGCGCCGGCGCCCGAGACTGAGGCATGGCCACTGCCTCCCTCTTCCACTCCAGCACTATATATACTGCTCCACCTTTCCTTCGGTTCTTCACCACAAAAAAAATCAACGAAGTTACGAGAGAAGCTCTAGTGTTGCTGTCTAGTTGCTGGTAGGGGTGGGTATTTGGTCGGTTCGGTTCAAACCGAACCGAAATTATTCATACCGGGTCCCTAAAATCTATCAAATCTCAAACCGAATTCGAACCGAATTATAATTCGGTTCGGTCGGTTCAAACCGAATTATAATTCGGTTCGGTCGGTTCAAAACAAATTATAATTCGGTTCGGTTTTCATACAAAACCGAAATAGTGAGATTAGCTTGTATCTTCTCTTTTTTAAATTATTTTTCACCCATAATGTAAACAATAAATATGCATCATCAATGATAAAATCAAACATTCCAATGCCTATTGTTGCTGGTTTTGATGGAGAATTCTACAAGGGGCAGATATTTTACTCCAAACAAGCTGCACAGGTGGCAATTAAACACTACGCACTACAACGCAACTTTCAGTATAACGTGGTGGAGTCGTCACCTTCGATCTGGAAGATCAGATGTTTGAAGCACAAGGATGACAATTGTCCTTGGATGGTGCGGTTTGGATGTCGAGATGTGGGAGGCGAATGGACTGTGAGAAAGGCCGAGTTGGTGCATTATTGTAGCAGTACCACTCAACCGACGGATCATCGCCATCTTTATGTCGACGTTATATCCGAGTCCGTGAAACACTTGGTACGTACCCAACCAAATCTGAGTCTTCTAACTGTGCAAGCTGAGATGAAAGATAAGTTTAATATGCAAGTTACTTACAAAAAGGCTTGGTATGGGAAACAAAGAGCATTGGAGAAGTTGCATGGGAATTGGGAAGAATCCTACGACTATTTGCAAACATTCTTGTGGCTGGTAAAGAGAAAGATGCCAACATCGGTGATTGATTGGGTAAGAGTTCCTTCAGCTCAACTAGGACATTCGATATTTCAGCGAGTATTCTGGGCTTATGGACCTTGTATAGATGGATTCAAGAATTGTCCAGGAGTCATGGTTGTTGATGGAACATTTCTTACTGGAAAGTATAAATGCGTGCTACTCATGGCGAGCTCATTTGATGGTTGGAAGAAGATTTTTCCAATTACATTTGTCCTAGTGGAGAGCGAGAATACTGATAGTTGGCCATGGTTCATTAGTCACGTTCTAGGTTTGACTGATAGAAATGATGTATGCGTCATTCAGATAGACATGCGGGACTCTATGAAGCCATGAATAACATCGAAAGAGGCTTGGAGTGGAGGTGGTGCATGCGACACTATGCACGCAATTTGCAAAGGAAGACTAAAAGCAGGATTATGTATAAGCAACTATTTCGAGTCGGTAAGCCTTTTTCATTTAATTTTGTTATTTATTTTAATGTATTATTTATTTTAATGTAATTTTTTCATGAATCTATCTAACTCGTGTGGTTGTTTATTTTGTTAGCCCGAGAAAAATGCTTGGAGAAGTTCAATCGTCAAGTTCAACAATTTAAGAAGGTGGCCGCTAATAGAAATATTTCTTGTGATAACTGGGTGGACCAACATCAGATTCGTTGGAGCTTAGCACATGACAACTACAATGGTGGGCGTCGTTGGTCTATCATGACATCCAACATGGCTGAGAGCATCAATGGTGTTTTCAAAGGTATTCGTTCACTTCCTATAGCTTCTCTTGTGCAACATACCTATTGGCGATTGTTGGAGAAATTCGATAAGAAGAGGTTGGAGACAAGCACAAATTAGAAGTGGTCATTCATAGTACTCCATCAAGTGTGAAGAGCTTATGAAGCCGTGGTCATAAAAGGCAGTTGGACATTCCGTGACTGCGGTTGATCGCCGTCAAGGAATCTATGTAGTTCAGACTCCTCCCAACAATTTCAACATGACGGGTTCAAACACACTCACAGTGCACTTCGACGACCGCAACCGGGCGGGATTTTGCACTTGCGGGAAATTTCAAGGAAATAAAATTCCTTACTCTCATGCCATTGCAACTTGCAACCGAATGGGGGCTGATCCGTATAGGTTTGTAAACGACGTTACAAGCTTTCAATAGTGTTGGCTTGTTATGGGACAAGTTTCACACCTCTTGGTGAACCTAAGGGTTGGAAGAAGCATAATGACCCTACTCTCCATCCTAATCTACACATGGTTAGGAAGCCGGGGAGGCCAAGATCAACAAGAATTCACAACGAAATGGATTGGCCAAGGGAGGGTGCATCACACCAAGTGTGTGGCAACTGTAACCAAGCGGGACATAATGCATCAACATGTGGTGGCCAAGCAAGTGGGAGTGGGAGCAACCGAAGAGGGCGTGGTGGACAACAAAGTGCGAGAGGTGGTAGAAGAGGAAGTAGAGGTAATAGACGTGGTATGTAGTTTGTTCGAACGGAGATATAATGTAGCAGTTGTTTTTTTTCTTTCGATTTGCCTTGCAGAAGTTGTTGTTTGGAGTTTTATGATATGAACTAGTTGTTGTTTGTTGGTTTTAATATTTAAAGTATTCATTTAGACAATAACACTAACATGAATTAGTCCACATGAAATTAAAAATAGTCCCAAATTAGTACATAATAATAATAATAAATAGTCCCAAAGAAGTACATAATAATAAATAGTCCAAAAGAAGTACCTAATAATAATAATAATAATAATACATATCCCAAAGAAGTACATAAATAGTCCCACTAACGACCACCACGACGACCACCATGTTCTACCACTAAATGGTCACCAGTACCACACCTCGCTGTCCTCCTAATCCGTGGAGGCCTACCATCATCGTGTTGGGGCTCTTATCCCTCCATTATATCATCCTGATCCTGTGTACCGAACATGTCATCCACATGAGACTGAACCTGCTCATCTGGTGCACCAGATCCTCCCGCTTGAAGCTGCTCCTCGTGAGCCGACATCAATGTTCGCAAAACCTGATCATCATCTAGACGCTCCCACTCATCTGGGTCCAAATCTGGCACAGTATCAGTACATGATCCCATATGCCCGCCTCCCATCGCAGCATGCTGCGGTGTATGAAAGCTATCTTCCGGTGGCTGAAACTGTGGGACCGAACTGGTGTCTGCCTGAAATCCGGCAAACGCGTCGGGCTGAAACTGTGGGCCAGAACTGGTGCCTGCCTGAAATTCGGCAAAAGCGCCTGGCTAAAACTGTTGCTGAGAAGGCGGGTGGAACTGGAAGGTCAGAGTAGGTCTGACTGGCTGCACTGGCTGACGATCTGAGTACCTCACTGGACGAGGTACGTCGAATTGCTCACGTCATTGTCTCTGCCTCCTGGGCTCCTACGTGAACTGTGGCGGTGGTACTCCCTAGTCCAATGGCTGAACCCTACGCTCTAGCCAGATGTCTAAGCTGCGCATAGGTCCTGTAGGATCAGGATGTTGGCGCTCACTGAAACCTAAAGCTGTAACCCCTGCTGCCAAAATGTCAGCCAACTCCTCCATCCGGTATGTGGATATCCCCTCATCTCGAATTTCATCACGTAAACCCAACTCAGCGGACTCCATGCTGTCGTACTGAAAATTAAATTTAAAATATAAGAAATTCTACACATCTAAAAACAATTAAAACACAAATATGAATTAATAAAAAACTAAGACGTTCATTGCACCTGCTCTCCGTGTGCCTGAACGTCTAGTGACATCTTGATACCACTCTCGATGCTCCGAGTGGTAGGCTAAAGGTACATCAGTGTACCTCGTACGCGCGATGAACTCATGTCGACGGTTCCACAACTCAACCGACTCGTTGGCTGCCTGTATAAACTGCTGGCCACGTGATGGCCCATGCTGGCCCTAGCGAAGGAAAAACCTAATCTCAACCGTAGGATGTGGGTGATGAGGCGAGTCCTGAATCATTCCAAACTGTCCGAGCACGCGAATTAGATGGTGCCACAATGCCGATGAAAAGCAAATCAGTGGAACTACTGCTCGAAACGTGTCGGACTGGATCATAGTACTGCTAAAGTCCTGGCTCTATCAAAGTAAGGACGCCACTGCACACAAAAATTGTGCACCAAATTACTCCTAAATCTAAAACAAATCAATGAACACTATTCTAATCAACGAAATGTTATATACTAACCACGAATGTAGTGCACTCTTCAAACCACAGCTTGTACAGATAGAACTGATCACCATGCTGACGGGTATGGGCCAGAAGCCATCGAAGGCCTCGTGGGTGGCCATCCTCGGTAATCTGCGCCCCCGTCTCTACATGTAGTGGTGCTGTATGAGTAAATCACTCCCACGCCCAGAGCATCAGCAAGGCGGACCATCCACCAAGGTCAAAACCTAGAGTAGAAGACGTAGTCATCTATAGTGCCGACCTACCCATTTCACGGTATAGGTAGGTTAGAACAGCTTCTCCCCAGGCAAACCCCCCTCTCTGCGCCAATCATCCATCAAAAGTAGGTTCTGCAGATGAACTGAACCTCCAGACCGATCGGGGAACAAAACACCTCCCAGCAGAGACAGAGCATAAGCTCGTGCAA